CAAAATGTGTATATGTAACAATAATGCATAAGCCATAGAAAAATATTAAGGCTAGAATTGTTTACATAACTGTGTGATAGTTGCCTAAACTACATCAGTTAAAACTTAATGAATTTAAATGAACAGCACAGAAATCAAAATAAATTACACTACCTGACAAAAGTTTGGGGTCAATTTATTATTATTATTTTTAATTAATTTCATTTAATAATTTAAATAAAATTATTCCGTTCATCAAGGATGGCATTTATTTAATTTATTTATTACTTTTTGTATGTAGTTTCAAATTAAATGATTACTCCAGTCATTATTGCTTTTATTATTCATTCATTCATTTTCTTTTTGGCTTAGTCCCTTTATTAATTTGGGGTCGCCACAGCGGAATGAACCGCCAACTTATCCAGCATATGTTTTACGCAGTAAATGCCTCCCCAGCAGCAACTTATTGCTGGGAAATGCTTTTATTATTATTATCATTATTAATATAAATAATAATAGGTGATGCAGTGGCACAGTAGGTTGTGTTGTTGCCTCACAGCAAGAAGGTCGCTGGTTTGAGCCTCCCCTGGGTCAGTTGGCATTTCTGTGTGGAGTTTGCATGTTCTCCCTGCCTTCGCGTGGATTTCCTCTGGGTGCTCCAGTTTCCCCCACAGTCCAAAGACATGTGGTACAGGTGAATTGGGTAGGCTAAATTGTCCGTAGTGTATGAGTGTGTGTTTGAATGTGTGTGGATGCTTCCCAGAGATGGGTTGCGGCTGGAAGGGCATCCGCTGTGTAAAAACTTGCTGGATAAGTTATATAAAACAGCCGTAAATGTAAGCCCAACTGGAGATCCTGCTCACTTCAGAATTGTATGCCACTTATAATAAATATAATAAATATATTTATGTCTGTGGTCATAATGTGAGAAAATGTTGAAAAGTTCAAGGGGTATGAGTACTTTTGTATATTGCCACTGTATATAGCTCAAGTTGAAAGAAAAGTTTTTTTAAACTTCGAGGCACAATCACCTCACAACAAGAAGGTGACTGGTTCAAGCCTCAGCTGGGTCAGTTGGCATTTCAGTGTGGAGTTTGCATGTTCTCCCCGTTTTTGCGTGGGTTTTCACCGGGTGCTCTGGTTTACCCCACAGTCCAAAGACATGCGGTTCAGGTGAATGAATAAACTAAATTGGCCATAGTGTATGTTGGTGGCCTCACAGCAAGATGGTCTCTGGTTTGAGCCTCGGCTGGGTCAGTTGGCATTTCTGTGTGGAGTTTGCATGCTCTCCCCGTGTTCGCATGGGTTTCTTCCGGGTGCTCTAGTTTTCCCCACAGTCATGAAGTATAGGTGAATTGGGTAAGCTAAATTGTCCATAGTGTAGGTGTGTGAATCTATGTTTCCCAGTGATGGGTTGCAGCTGGAAGGCCATTCATTCATTCATTCATTTCTTGTCAGCTTAGTTCCTTTATTAATCCGGTGTTGCCACAGCGGAATGAACCGCCAACTTATCCAGCAAGTTTTTACACAGCGGATACCCTTCCAGCCGCAACCCATCTCTAGGAAACATACACACACACTACGGACAATTTAGCCTACCCAATTCACCTGTACCACATGTCTTTGGACTGTGGGGGAAACCGGAGCACCCGGAGGAAACCCACACGAACTCAGGGAGAAAATGCAAACTCCACACAGAAACGCCAACTGAGCCGAGGATCGAACCAGCGACCTTCATGCTGTAAGGCGAACGTGCTACCCACTGCGTCGCCTCTGGCAGGCCATCTGCTGCGTAAAATATTTGCTGGATAAGTTTGAGGTTCATTACGCTGTGGCGACCCCAGATTAATAAAGGGACTAAGTCAAAAAGAAAATAAACGAATAAATGTATGTGAGTGTGTGCAAGAGTGTGTGGGTGTTTCCCAGTGTTGGGTTGTGGCTGGAAGGGCATCCGCTGCATAAAACATATGCTGAATAAGTTGGTGGTTCATTCCACTGTGGCGACCCCTGATTAAGAAAGGTACTAAGCCGAAAAGAAAATTAATGAATGTTTGACATGGTGTTTTCTTTTTCCGCTTCTTGTGAAGTATTTAAGGATATAGCTTGGTTTAATGAATTATACCTTAACCTTTGACTGTATTTTCCCTTATCTCTAACTGCCCCACCAAGAAAAAAAAATTTGGATTTAACTTTTTTTTTTTTTTTTTGTAGCAGTGCATCAAAATTATGTTTGTTTGTTTGATTATTTTGTAAACCAACAATGCTGTGTAGTTTAAACCATTATTTAAAACAGTCATTCTTTAAATGGCTTTAACAGTAATTTTTTAAAGCAGTCAAAACATGGTCAACCATTTGGTAGACCAGGCCACAGCATGTTTTACATTTCCCAGTCAGCAAAAACGGTGACTGAAATCGACTGTAAAGCACACGAAAGACACTAAAACTGCTGTTAATAGTATTGACTGTTTTTAAAATTGTTATAGTAACTTAAAGGAGAACATTTTGTATGACATTTTGAATAAAAAAAATGAACATAAACATAAATAAACAACATTTAGCGACATTTTGTACAGAGCTTAACTACTTTACAAGGAAAATTGTTGCCAACACTGGTCTTTCTTGTTCAACACATTATTGAGTGACTTGCTCATTAGAACTCCATGCAACTAAGAAGTGTCTCTACCTAATGTCCGTTGCTTCCTAAGCATGTGAGGTTTTACTTTACTTTGAAACGTTCGTTCATTCATTCATTCACTACATTCATGCCTGCATAGTCTTTACACACAAAAGACTTATTGTAGAGTTAAGTAAAGTGTTATTGTTTAAATTTACGTTGAACGGCATGTCATGAATCATGATGAAACATTCTGTGAAATCCAAATTGTAGCGTACTACAAAGACAAACACAAATTGTGCAGAACAGTGGGTTGTAATGATCCTCATATGATATACAGTAGCTTTGGCATATTGGTATTGATAATCATTTATGTACATAATGTGCTTTTACTCATTGTGACATAACTGATTAAGTGTGGCTAAATTAAAAACATTGTAGCAGGTTGATAATGTTTATTCATAATTCCTTTTCTTGGGCTTAGTTTCTTATATATCAGGGGTCGCCAAAGCAGAATGAATCACCAACTATTCTGGCATATGTTTTTTGCAGTGGATGCCCTTCCAGCAGCAACCCAGTACTAGGAAACAACCATACACTATCATTCACACACACACACACACACACACACACACACACACACACACACACACATTCATACGCTACAGCCAATTTAGGTCATCCCAAATCACCTATAGCACGTCTTTGGACTGTGGGGGGAAACCGGAGCACCCAGAAGAAACCCACGTGAACACAGGGAGAACATGCAAACTTTACCCAAAAATGTCAACTGATCCAGCTGGGACTCAAACCAGCTACCTTCTTGATGTGAGGTGACACTGCTAACCACTGAGCGACCATGTCGCCAGGTTGATGACAGTTTAACATTATTATTATAATAAATATGCAGCAACAAAGATCCGATCAATTACAAATAAAAAATGAAAACCTGACTGCTTACATGTATGTGTTATAATGGGTCGTGTGTGTGTGTGTGTTTGCGTCTCAGAGGGACCTGAGAAAAGAGATGTGCGAGAGGGACAAAGAGGCCAGTGTAAGTAGAGCACTGCTGCCTGGAAGTGAATACGCTAAAAATACTGTATCTCTAAGGAGGACAGAAATACACACATTGGTTGTGTGTCATCAAAAAGAGGAAGGAATTAAGCGGTAACACAAAATACTAGCCAAGCTGATGTTTGAGATAGCTCTTTATATTCAAATGCACATTTATTTCATGTAACTTATCTTTTGATACTTTTCTAAATGTTGGTTTAAAAAAACTCCCACCCTTAGCCAACAGAGGGTGCACCCTTGATTAACCCCATGTTGCATGACCCAAAATGTTTACAGATCTTTCCTAGTTTTCTGACTGACATCTGTTACTCATAAAATTGATGTGTGCTTGGGAGGGGGATGCTTCTCTGTATTCTCTAGGGGCAAAGTCAGCTATCAGGCAAACCCCAACATTTAGCACATGGGTTCATTTTCTCTGATTCATTAAGCTCCTTAGAATAAGAAATAATTAAATATACACACTAAAGCCAAACACAGACCTCCAGCCTACACAAACAATCAAATCAGGCATGTACAAAGACAAGATAAGCACCAAGATATTCTTTTTTTATTCAAACCCTGGTAGCCCTCCACCACTGTGCATATCTTTTTTTTTTTTTTTTTTTTTTTTTTTACAATTTAGGTAATCTGCTTAGTGGGAGGGTAATTCAGTATTTCAGATAAAAGAGACATTTAATGTTCAGACTGATGTCAAATCTGTTCTGGATGAAAGCAATTTTTAGTATCTCCATTATTGGACACATGCAAGAACATGTTAGATGACATGCAATGTGCAATGCTGGGAGCTTCCAGATCAGGTTCAAAAACCCCTACACAAGTTATACATACATAAAGACAGCTAAGTGGACCTCACATAAATCCGTTTTTATTTGAAACAATTTTATTAAACCTAATTCATATTTTTTACCGCTTATTTTCCTTTTTGGACAGACACAAACACACGCACACACACACACACACACACACACACTTTTAAGTTTGTGGTAACTTGTTAGAATTTTTCTAAATGTCAAGTTTATCATTTACCCCCACAATGTAGTCAAAACCTGACCCACAAGTACACTACTGCTCAAAATGCAAAGACTTGTCCTTGAAGATTACACAACCCTCATTGTTTTATATATATATATATATATATATATATATATATATATATATATATATATATATATATATATATATATATATATAAATTAACAAACATGATTTGGTATCTGCATACATTTACTTGCCATTAAATAGTTGCTATTATCGGTTTAAATGTTTATGATGGTCATGATGTTAAAGCCAATGCATATGCCTAAATATTTGTGTTTTCTGGAGTATTTCTTACCTTTCTGCTCCTGAGCCCAAATTCCAGGCAGCTCTGCCTGTGAGAGACAAATCAACAGCACAGCACACAGACCCATGTCCAATTTAAATCCTTTTGCTTCCCACTCTCCTTCACACGCTTCTCTCCTTTGCTGTCTTCTCAGTCCTCCTTCCACCTCTCTCTGATATTACTCTGGGTATTTCATATGCATGTGTTCCATAGACTCATCCTCCTCCTTTTCTGCCCTCATTTTCCCCTCCCTCTTTTCTTCCATTCCATCTGGCTATTTATGTGTCTTCTAATTTTTGTCAACCTTTTCTTACTTTCCCTGTCTTTACACTCTCTAGATAAATTGTACAATACTGCATGCATTGTTATATCTAAAATAGTGGTATGATAGAAAGATTAGCACATTGGAAACAACCTCTATTGCCATAATTGCACTACATGGAAAACACATTTCACATGTTCAACTTTGCATCTAATCTGAATAGACATATAGTAAGCATATTTCAGTGTGCTGTTTTAGTAGAAGGCCTCAAGCTTGGAATATGTCCCGAACCCAAAGAACTCCCCCTTCCTTTTAATATGGTTTAATAGGTTGAAGTGTGAGGAGATTTTGGTTGGAGGAAGGATGCCTAAAAATGTTCCTAAAGTAGAGGTGAGTGGGCTGGATATGTGTACATGTGATATGCTGGTTAATGTGATTAGCTGAATGATTTGTTATAATTTTGGTGAAACCAAGTGCTGCAAAATGCACCATTAGGCTATACATTCCATTTAGGAAAACAGGAGGTAGACTGAAGCATGATGACAGGTATTAAAAGAGACTTTAGCACCATCCGAAAGGTACTGTGACTCTGCTGCACTGGAGCTGAAAACAAAGTACAATTTGGTGCCTTGGTAGATTAGGAGAAGATTAATTTAAAATATTTTTAAATTGGATACATTTCAGACTTTCTTAGCAGTAGTACAGAACTTAAGCATTTCTCTTAGTGTTATTGGACCTTAGTGTTGCATTTGATACTATTGACCATAAAATTCTCTCTGAAAGGCTTGACAATTATGTTGGTATTACTTAAGATAGTTAGGATCACCTCCACACACAGCTTGGGCTCTTGATCTCAACTTCTTGCTGTTGTGGACTTGCTTATAGCTCTGCAATTTAGTCACCATGCATCAGAGTTTTTTCCCTGTGAATAAGAGGGCTTCTTAGAGTCTTAAGGAGGGGTGCTGGAAGGTGCTTAGACTGAGGACTCTGTTGTTCTACTGGTGGAATTTAACTCCCCCGTGGGTAATGACATGACACCTGGAGAGGCTTGATTGGGAGGAACGGCCTCCTTGATCTGAATCCAAGTGGAGTTGTTATTGGAATTCTGTGCTAATCACAGTTTGTCCATAACAAACACCATGTTCAAGCATAAGGGTGTCCATCAGTGCACATGGCACAAGGACACTCTAGGATGGAGGATGATTGTTAACTTTGTAGTTGTATCATCTGATATCTGACCATATGTCTTGGACACTCGGGTAAAGAGAGGGACAGAGTTGTCAACCGATCACCACCTGGTGGTAAGTTAGATCCACTGGCAGAAAGGAAAGCTGGACAGACCTGGCAGGCCCAAACATATTGTGACGGTCCTCTGGAAACATCTGGCTGAACCACAAGTCAGAGGGATTTTCAACTCTCACCTTCAGAAGAGCTTTAACCAGATCCCGAGGGAGGCTGAAAACATTAAGACAGAGTGGTTCATGTTCTCCAACTCCATTGTTGACGCGACCATGAGAAGCTATGGCCATAAGGGGTGTGGTGCCTGTCTAGGTGGCAATCCACAAACCTGGTGGTAGACACTGGAAATAAGGGATGCCGTCAGGCCAATTGGCTTGTAGGACTCCTGAGGCAGCTGATGGGTACCAACATACCAAAAATTCCTAGGAAGAGTTTGGTGAGACCATGGAGGAAGACTACTGGTTGGCATCAAAGAGATTCTGGCAAACCGTCTGGCACATCAGGATGGGAGAGCAGTTTCACACTGACACGAACAAGGACAAAAGGACAAGATCTCTGAGTCAAGCAGCCGAAATGAGTTTATTTAACAGGGTGGCAAGGTGCACCCTTATATATAAGGTGAGAAACTCTGTCACCCAAGAAGAGCTCGGAGTAGAGCTGCTCCTCCACATTGAGAAAAGTCAACTAAGGTGGCTCAGGCATCTGTTTTAGATGCCTTCTGGACGCCTACCTATGGAGGTGTTCCAGGCATGTGTCACCGGTAGGAGGCCTTAGGGGAAGGTTCAGGACACGCTGGAGGGACTATGTCTCTTGGCTGCGAAGACCTCGGGATCCACCTGGAGGAGCTGGAGGAAGTGTCTGGGAAGAAGAAAGTCTGGGGATCTCTCCTGAGAAAGCTCTATTTTTTTTTAAAAAGGGGATGTTTTTACAGTTCTTTGGAAAGTAACAGCGGCTTTGTTAGACTTAGTGATCCTTGTTATTTTTGTAATTTTATGTTACATTTGTCCTACACTAAAGAAAATATAAAAATGAAAACTTCATATGACCTTTGCTGAGGACTTTTAGTTTTCTGTCGAAGCACTGAATACACCACAAGCTGGGGCAGAAGAAGAGAACAAAACTGATAATGAAGTAAATAAAATAAAATAAATAAAATAAAATAAAATAAAATACTGATAACATAAATGACAGGAAAATAAATGATCAAGAGCACAATTACAAATAAAATTACAATAAAAAACTAATACAATAAAAATATTAATAAAACCAATTCTTAATATAATATTTCTATAATAAATGAAAGTTCTTTATAGCCTTAAATTTTTAATAGACTGAATTTTTATATTTTACTGATGACAACAAGTAAAATGGTTCATTGTTGGCGTACTTGCATTTATGAATATAAAATTTTGCTATCTGTGGTCTTTTTTGTGTTCATAAAAGCTGAAAACAATATGATTAAGGGTAAATCCATTGATGGAATTGTATGTTTGGAAGATTATTTTTCTTTAAAAAAAAAAAATAAAACATCAGCCCAGCATTTTTTAACATGTCCAGAATAACTGGGTTTTAAGAAGACTACTGCAATCTATGTGACCTAAAATATTTAACTGTGTAGTATTTATATAATATAAAAAAACTTATTTGACTTTGTCACATCCGTATCCTTTTAATGTATTGATAATTGTTGTTTATTTCAAGAGTTCACACTTAGCTGATGATTGATAGTAATCAAGGCTAGTAATCAAGTCTAGGCAGTGGCGTGGGAGGGGCTGGGAGTGACTCCTGCTGGATTCGAGACTCTAGGGGGCTCCTGCGGGAGCCAGAGCCGGGGTGGGCTGGGATTCCGTGGGAGTCAGGAAGAGTTTTTGGGCGGTGTTGACTCCGGCGGAAAAGGGGTGTGGGTTAGAGGAGAGGGGGTAGGAACTCCTGTGGAGTTGAAGCTAAGGGGACTCCGTGGGAGTCTGAACTAAGGGAGTGAGGGCCTATGCGGAAGGAAGAAAAGAACAGTGGATGACTCAACACTAGAAGAAAGAAAGAGCATTAAACTTATGCTGAAGGAAGAAAATTAGCGGAGGAACTCAACGCTATGAAAGGAGGGGGAGAGGGGGGAGAAGTGGGAGTAAAGGTTTGGGGGGGGGTAGCAGAAGTGCTCTGCGCTTTAATAAAGAAAAGATGGGGCGCATAAATGCCGGAAGGGAGATAGAAAGAGGGACGGAGGAACTCAACGTCAGAAAGAAGAAAAGTTAGGAGAGGTTTTTTTTTTTTTTTCTCTAGTGGCCGGGGAGGGGAAGACTCTAGCGAAAGATGGCCGTGGCGTGATTCCTGTGGGAATCGAAGCTCGTTTTAGTCACTCCTGCGGGAGTTAGAGCTGGGGAATGATGGACTAAGGAAAAGAGAGAGAGTAGCGGAGGAACTCAACGCTAGAAGAAAGATAGTATTGCGACTGAACTGGTCGCTAAAGAGAAAGGAATCGGAGGAACTCACGCTGAAAAGATAAGCGGGGGAGGGGAAGAGATGGGAAACGGAAAAGGGGATCAGAAAAAGGGGGGATGGAGAGCGGAATTACTCAATGCTGAAAGTAGAAAAGAAGTGGCTATTAAATGCCGGAAGGTAGATAGAAAGAGGGGCTGAGAATCTTGAAGCCGGAAAAGGTAAAGGGGAGGGGGGGGAACTAGTGGCTTGGGGGGGGGCAGTGAGACCCCTGTGGGGGTCGAAGCTCGGGGCGATCCCTGCGGGTCTAGCAAGAGATGGGAGGAAGGAGGGGGCTGTGAGGGCTCTTGCTAGCGGGTGGTTGCTAAGGGTTGGGCTGTGGATGGGCTTGGCAGGACCCCTGCGGGGGTAGAGGTTAAGAGTAACTCCAGAGAGTTGGAGCGGTGGAGGGCAGGTAATGAGGGGTAAGCGGAGTATAGCTCGGGCTTGAGAAAAGATAGTAAGAAATGTAGCTAAGAGGCTACTTAGAGAGAAAATAGGAGGAAATGGCAGAGTCGTGCTCGTGCCCTTGAACTCCGATGGTTGGTTGTCAGCTGGAAAGGATTAGCTGGGCTTCCTTTAGATAGTAGTGGCTAAGGCAGATGTATGATTTGAAGGCGTCTGATGACCATCGTCCGAGGGTCTGGATCTGCCATTGGGAGAACCCCTGGTGGGCTGCTGTGGTGGCTGCCCCAATTCTGAATGAGTGGCTGGAGAATGGTTCTGGAGGGAATCCTGAGGCGGAATACTTCTTTTAGGTGTTTTGAAACCAAAAATGTGTTACTGGACGGTTAGCGTCGTCCGTAAAGAGGAGGGCAAGAGAGTTGGGCTCTTGGGTTCCCCTAAAATGTAAAGGTTAAAAGGGGGTTGGAAAGTGCGAGAGTGGGTGGGTGTGGGGGGGTTAAAGTTAGATGTTATGGTTAATTCAGAACATCTTAGGAGGCCAAAGCCAGAGTGTACATAGCATAGAGGGTGCGGGCTGTTTTTGTGGAAAGGTATCCTTAGAGTAGTGTAATAAAGCGGGTGGCTTTGGGCAATATCATTTCTGGATGGTGTGGGACTGGTGTTGGATGGGGATCCACCTCTGGAGCCAATCGCTGAAATTTCTGGAAAGAGAAATGAGACAGAGTCAGCAATTGATTTTTGTAACCTGATACATGTTCAGCAACTATACAAAACTGTTTGTATATGCCTGTCCCCTGCAGGGATCGCTGACGGGGCCCCCTGATGAAGAGGGGGGGGGGGGGATACGTCATACGTCAATTTGCATATCACTTACGTCATCACGTTTTACCGTTTCTGTTTAACAGCCTATGGTTAATAAAGGGGTATTTATAATTGCACTACACTTTATAAAAGCATGTTTATTTAACTAAATTTATTGCTGTTTGAATACAGTATGTCATTATAGATGTGTAGTGAATGTGCAGTAATCTCTCATATGTAATAAACTCAGACAAGTTCAGAAACTGTCACTAAAATATCTGTGATTGTGAACAAGAAAAGAATAAACGGTCCAATTAAATTGTTAAAATAAAGTAGAAGTGGATCGGTTAGACTGTACAAGGGAAATACCTTCACACTGCCTGTGCTAAATCATTTGTCGTCGGTACGCAGAGGGGTGATCTGCTCTCGGGCTGCAGGTGGGATAGAGGCTGCTGTACGAGGACTGACTGGGCCGCCTGTCAGTGCTGTGAGGCGGGGGAGGGGCCGGCGCCATCACACGCAGCTCGTTGAGAAGAGTAGGGAAGGTACAGTATGGACAAATGACAGTCTAAAAAAATCTCCAATAACACACAAAAAAGTCGCTAGATTTGTCGCTAGGGGGGTCTGAAAAGTCGCTAAATCTAGTGACAAAGTCACTAAGTTGGCAACATTGGCGGCAAGCAATCAGAATGAAGTAGTCCACCGCTTGAGAGGTGTTCAGAGAACACAGACGTGTGAACTTTGGTTCCGACCACAGTTGTTCCCAAGAGTTTGATTATTGCAGTTGCCGGTGGGTTTTCAATTATTGAAAATCGCGACGACGCGGGGCCCCCTAATCACACGGGGCCCCCCCGCAGTGCGTGCCCTGCGGGCCCGTCCGCTATGCCACTGTGTAGGTTAAGCTTGTAGATTGAAGCTTGCTTGTAGATAAAAGCTTGTAGATTAAGGCTTGTTGTAGGTTGAAGCTTGTAGAGTTTTTAGCTTTTGAAGCTGATGAGCGGAGCAGAGCTTTCTTCGAGACGAAGATATTGAGATGAGAAAAGTCTGGTTATTTATAGTGAGTTAAGGATCATCTGATAGGATAATCAGTCATTAGCTAAAGTTGGAACAGCTGCAAACAATCATAAGCACGTGATCCTCTCGAAATTTGTTTATCAATAAAATTCACTTATTGTGCGTTACCTGCACATCTGGTGTTCTAATGTTGGCTGTTTCTCAATATCCATTCTTCAGAGATCTTGCATCCTTGTGTACTCAAGTAACGTCATCATCAGCTGCTAGAGTTCAGTTCCAAAACTCAAGGCTGCAAGAACGGAGTATGCATGAAAGTTCCCAGATGGTTCTTGATATCGAGGATGCATCGACGCAGACTTCCATGTGAAAAACTTCCTCGAGAAGTCCCAGAAGTCATCGTGGCTGATTAAAGGAGGTGGGATTTATTATTACAGTTCAGAGATATACCTTATTTATCTCAGGAGTTTCCCTAAATGAGACGGTGAAAGTAAACATCAACATAAAAATCTTTATAAGGGCATAAACACATTAAGAGTGTTTATTTGCTGAAATTCATATTAAAAATTGTTTTATTTTTATTGTGCAACTTATGTTTTTAATAGTCTTTATGCACTGTATATATTGTGAAAAGGGAAAAAACAATAAAAATTGTTATATGAATGCTGTAAAGTTTAATTCATTTTTCATTAAAAACACGTGAAGGTCATGTGACCATCAGAAAAAAACAGTAAAGAACACAGCATCTCATTTCTCACAGAACCCGTTCTTTGTTTTCGCGGTCTCCCGAGTTCATTCTTTCGAGGCAACGGTCTCCAACGGAAGAGGTGGAAAAGGAGCTTGGTGAAGATGATCTGATTATGAGCAAACATACAATAAAGAAAAGTTTATGATACATGAAGATGATAAAAAGAGGAAGAAAAAGAAATCAAATAACATTTGCTAAGCAAACAGAGCAACAGAATCATCCGTGAAAATATCAATGGCAATTGAGAAAGAACTAAACAGTGAAAAATGTATGTAGTCATAATAATGATCAGTGTTGTGCAAGTAACTTCTAAACTGTAATACATTACAGAATACTTGGTACTGTTATTTAAAAGTAATCCCTTACCTTACAATATTACAGTCTCAAATTTGATATATTTTACATGACTCATATTACTTTTAAGTTACTTTAACCAAATTAACTACAAAATTAGAACTTAACATTCTAAAATGACAAAATGTACTGCAGAGCATCTTACATCCAGAAGAAAGTGATATGATGTAGCATAATAACTGTGACCTTTCCAGGCTACTATATAGTATATAATTGTCAATGTGAAGGCTCAAGACTATGCAGGAAAGGATGACAGCCAGAATCACAAATTTTCTAAGTCTGTTAAAAAGTATAGTAATCAGATAATCTGGAAATATCTGTGAATAGCTTGGCTATATTCATATTAGACACAACAGGCCTATTTGTAAACTCCAATGCCATGACAAAATGCAGATTTATTTTCTTTTCTTATTGTTGCCATTATTCTATTCACTTTAAATTCAAGTGGTTAACAACACAAAACTGTCAAGCACAATGAGAGCATGTTGAACATAGCTTTCTCAATATAATGCTCGTGCAGAGATTTTCTGTTTGTGGACACAACTGCTTGAGAGCTCTCAAAAATATGCTGCTCGCGCACAAATTTTCTTGCATGCTCTCAGTACACTGCTCGCTCTGTGAGATGATATGCAGACTCACAATTTGTGTCTTGTGTTTCCTCCTTTCGTGTTTTTTGATATGATTTATATTAGTACAGTATTTATTAAAGGGCCATGAAACCCCCCACTTTCGGTTAAAGTCTACTTCAGAATTTTTTCAAAAGATGCATGATTAATGGGCGTGGAGCTCCACGAGCATGGGGCAGGAGTGGGCGTGACCAGCAGGGGAGAAGGGGAGCGAACAACTGTTGATGTCAGTTAGCTCACAAAATTGAGACGCAAACCGTAAGAAGACGCATGAGTTTATAGTTCACAAAGTTAAAATGCAAAGAAATAAACAGTAATTTATTTCTGCTACATTTGTTATTCGTAATTTCATAAACACATAACCATAATTAATGTAGCAGATGTTTTGCATTAAGCCTTGGTGTACGCCCATTATTAACTGTGGGTTGTTAAGAGGTGTATAAAAGCCTGTCGGAGAATAGTGGAAGTTGCGTCATCGTCCAGCTGACTCCCTGTGGTGGGTGTGTCACTGCCGTGCGTTTGGTATGTAGTGGCTGTTTAAGCCTTATTTTCGCTTTCGTTTCAATTTGTGTTGGGTTTGATTCAGTTTTTCCTTGCTCTGGAAGGCTGGTGTCTGTTCGGTTGCTGTTGCACCATAGAGTGGCTACTGTGGGGCGTTGGGAGCTTTTGAGAAGTCGCGTTTCCTAGAGCTGAACTCTCCCTCGTGATTCTGTTGACACTTATGCGCGTTCCCGTGACTGCTGTCTTCCCAATCGGTAAGTAGGGCGCTACCGCTCGTACATTCTGTGCATGTCAAACTACTAGGAGTAGAAACTGATTTGTTATATTTTCTAGTTAGTTATTAATACGGACGCCTGGCTTTGCCGGAGGGATGACTGGCATCTCGTGTAGCGATTGCACTGTGGATTGAGCGTCTTCACCTGCCCTTGACACTTGCTGGATGCTGCTGTTTTGTTTCTGTTAATTTAGTTTTGATTCTGTTTTGTTTCTGTTAATTTAGTTTTGATTCTGTTTTGTTTCTGTTAATTTAGTTTTGATTCTGTTTTGTTTCTGTTTGGTTCTGTGAAGTTGTTTTTTTGTTTTGTCGTTTATTTATTTTCGGTGCTTTTGTATCAGTGTTTTTGTTGTTTTGCATATGTTTTGATTTTTGTTGTTTTACATTTACAAAAATGGGAACACCTGAAATGAATGTCTAACTGACTGCTTGGCTTTGCTTCTATACCTGCATTCTGGTACATTGTCCTGTTCCAATATTGTGACTTTGTGCTCTAACTTTTACTACATACTATTTGGGATTCTTTTTAGCGGGGGCCTGTCACCTCCGTGCCCCTGGGCGGCTGGTAGCTGCTCAAGTAGTCTGTTTTGATACCTCTGTGAGCCCATTTAATATTGTGTTTCCTTAAGTGTTTTATTTCCTTCCTAATTGTGGTTTTCTTCTCTCCCTAGGAGCTGGGGGTGCCTAGTACGGGCAGTCAGGCTGCTGTGTGGCGTGGCTCTTTTGATGAATTAGTCTTTTGCTCACTTGTGTGCATTGAAGTTCACTGTGTGGTGTTTTTGGAATCTAAGTGTGCACGTGTGAATTTGTGGGTCATTCTTAGGCCCAGTGCCTAGCCTGCCCGACTTTAGTAAGCCCCAGCTCCTGCGGTTGGATGAGGATTTGTTTTTTTGTATTTTGTAACCGCCTTCTAGTGCCTTTTTAAAGCACATGTGCCTGTCATTTTAACATTTGTAGTCCACTGAGAAGTGCATTGTAATAAAAGGAACTCTTATTTTTCTACATCCACGTCTCATTCCCTTATTGTCAGAGATACGAACCTGTGTTTTGTGTCCCAGGTAATGTACTGGGTGGCGTAGTCGAGCTCTAAATTGCAATAGGTTGTTAATTCGGCCGCAGTGTGCCAGTTATTGTATTGGTCTGGCTACCAACAAAAAGCCTTATCCCCCCCCTTCGCGCCACACTTGGCGTAGTCGGCAGGGTATTTTCTGACATTTTTGGGCTGTGAGACGTGGATTTTTGTGTTCGTACAGTGTTTTGTCTGTGTTTTAGAAGCAAAACAGCAGTATTCAAGCTTGGTTGCTGAACCCAATAGGTAAGGGTCTTTATATATATATTTTTTTCTCCATCTTTAAAGTTTATCTTTCTCATCATGGAAGATGAACTACAAGAGTTGCGAGATCTAGTAGCTCGGCTGAAAGCTGATAATTTACGATTACAGCAGGAACAGCCCCAAGCTAGCTCCCCAGGCCCTAGTGTTGATCCCTCCAATGTGTCTGTTCCCTCAGCGCCCCCATTTGAACCTGGTAATGCTGATGCTGCATCAGCAGAGCGATTTGTTTTTGTCCCAAGAGATAGAAAATGTGCCAAATTTAACGGTAAGTCAGGGATTGGCATAAATGAATGGGTAGAGGAAATCCAGGCTTGTATGCGGGCTCGCCACCTATCTGTGGCTGATCAGTCTTTCTTTATATTTGATCATTTAGAGGGTGAAGCCCGGGAAGAAATACGCTATCGGTTGGCCCAGGTCCGTGAAGATCCAAAACAGATTATCGCTGCTTTAAAAGAATTGTATGGTTGTTCTCAATCTTATATTGCGTTACAGGAGGCTTTCTTCTCCAGAAGACAACAGGAGGGTGAGTCCCTGTTGGAGTTTTCACTGGCCCTCTTGAGTCTTCTGGAGAAGGTGAAACAGCAGTCACCACACGTAATGACAAATGCTGAAGTTCTTTTGCGAGACCAATTTGTTGAACATGTGCTTGATAGCGCTCTTCGGCGTGAGTTAATGCAGCTTGTGCGTCGCCTACCCTCTAGTACTCTGCTCGATGTGCGTAAAGAGGCTATCAGGTGGGAGAGGGAGGGTATGCCTGGGGGTGTTAGGGGCCGCAGTCATTCTGTTCCATTAGCCTATGGGTTCCAATATGGAGTTAGGGGTGGTGCTCATTCACCGGGCAATGCCCAACAGACTGAAATAAGTGATTTGAGGGAAATTTTAAAATCACAGCAAGAGCAGCTGAACCAGCTTACTAGGAGTATCGCTCTGCTGCATGAACCCCCTCGTGGTCCTCGGTTGGGTCGTAATGATTCTGTAATATGTAGGAGATGTCAAAAACGTGGTCACTTTGCAAGGGAGTGTGAGGGGGAGCGTGTTCCTTCACGCCCTCCTCCACCAGACCGAACGGACACCAGAGTTCCAGAGAATAGGCAGTTAAACCCACGTCAGGTGTCGGAAAACTAGCTCCCGCCGTGTTGTTGAGTCGCAGCACAGGTGGGGGAGATGTAGACTCAGTGTTGTGTAGGGATGGTTCTATACCAAACTTAATGCTGTCTTGTCCCCATTTGGTGGTAGTTATGGGCGGGGTGTCTGTGCCGTGCCTGGTGGACACTGGCTCAATGGTGTCTACCATCACGGAAACTTGTTTCCGTGAATGTTTTGAGCCATGGGACCAGGAACGGCTCAAATCCTGCCAAGCCCCTGGTGTGGTGGGTATGAACATTTTGGGCCGGTGCTACCAGGAGCTCTTTGGACAATATGGATCTTCTCTTTTTGATTCTCCCCCATTGTCAAGTGCTTCAAGGAAGGTGTTCCAGGCCTTACAACTCTGTCATCAGGCAAGATTACAGATGCCGACAGAGGGGATAGGAAAGGTACGGGTGCGTGGCCCTCAAGTAAGTCGTGTTCCAGGGGGTACGATTAAGATGGTAGAGGCTACTTGTTCTGAGAAATTTTCTAGTGGTGTGGCCCTGTTTGAGCCGTTGGAGACTGGACTTCCAGCAGGGCTACTAGCTTCTCCTGCCCTGGTTCAAGTTATCAGAGGTACTGTACATGTCCCTATTGTAAATGTTGAGACCTCCGATGGCTTGTTGTTCCCTCGCAGGGTGATTGGTACATTAACTAGTGTGTACATTGTTTCTCCCTCCCCAGGAGTCATTGAAACTAGGTCTCTAGCGGGGACTGAGCCCTTAACTGGCACCACGTGCGCCATTAGTGCCAAGGCAGATTCTCCTCGAGTGCCCGAAGGGATAGATGCGGTTGATTTATCATTACTCTCCAGGGAAGAGCAGGATAAGGTGAAGGCTTTGCTGGGGAAGTATCAGACTGTCTTCGCTGCATGCGAAAGTGATTTAGGGTGCACTGACATGATTTCACATGATATCCCGCTACTAGATGACATCCCTGTTCGGCAGCGGTACAGACGCATACCTCCCACCGAATATGATGTGGTGCGAACTCATATAAACCAATTGCTAGAGACACAGGTGATTCGTGAGAGTTGCAGTCCCTATGCCTCTCCTATAGTTCTGGTGAAGAAAAAGGATGGCAGTCTACGCCTGTGTGTAGACTACCGTCAATTAAATGCCAAAACGAGGAAGGATGCGTTTCCCCTGCCCCGTATTGAGGAGTCATTGGATCTCCTGTCGGGGGCCCGCTGGTTTTCCACAATGGATTTAGCCAGTGGGTACAACCAAGTCCCGGTCACCGAAGAGGACAGGTATAAGACTGCTTTTTGCACCCCATTTGGGTTATTTGAATGGAATCGGATGCCCTTTGGACTATGCAATGCTCCTAGTACGTTCCAGCGGCTAATGCAGCGTTTGTTCGGGGATCAATGTCAGTCCTTATTGCTATATTTAGATGACATAATTGTGTTCTCTTCCTCTGTAGAGCAGCATCTAGAGCGGTTGGAGGTTGTTCTAGGTCGTATAAAAAGGGAGGGGCTGAAGGCTAGGCTGGACAAGTGTGCGTTTTTGAGGCCAGAGGTTGGTTATCTAGGCCATGTCATCTCAGCAAAGGGTGTCTCCACCGACCCGAACAAGACCCAGGCAGTTGCTCAGTGGCCTCGTCCGTCTAGTGCCACTGGCCTGCGTTCTTTTCTCGGCTTTGCCAGTTATTATCGTCGGTTCATAGAGGGGTTTGCAAAAATTGCTGCCCCCCTGCACCGACTGGCAGCTGAGTTTTCTGGTAAGCGCAAGTCAAAACATTCTGGGGCAGGGTTTGGGGACGCCTGGAGTGATCAGTGTGAGAATAGTTTTGCTGAGTTAAAGGTACGACTCACCACTGCCCCTGTACTCGCATATGCAGATTTTTCAAAGCCATTTATTCTGGAGGTGGATGCCAGCCATGGGGGCTTGGGGGCAGTCCTCTCTCAAGAGCAGGAGGGGCGAGTTCGCCCTATTGCGTATGCGAGTCGTAGTCTGAGGCCCACGGAGCGCAATATGTCTAACTACAGTTCTATGAAGTTGGAGTTTGTTGCGCTCAAGTGGGCCATGACGGAGAAGTTTAGGGAGTATTTGTTGGGCAGTCGGTGTGTCGTCTTTACGGATAACAATCCACTTAGTCACCTGTTGAGTGCGAAACTCGGGGCGGCTGAGCAGCGGTGGGCTGCACAGTTAGCTGCATTCAACTTTGAGATTCGTTATCGCTCTGGAAAAAGTAACTTGAATGCAGATGCTCTTTCTCGTCAGAATTCTTCTGAGAGTCCAGTGATGGGAGGCCTGGTACCAGGAACGGTAGTGCCCGCACCTTTAAGACAAGCCTTGGAGGGGGCGCCAATAGTTGAGGTACAACAGTCTATGATATCTACTATGCCAGGTTATTCTTTGTCAGATTTGGGATCACTCCAGGCAGTGGATCCTGTGATTGCGGAAGTACTGCCATTTTGGAGGCTGAAGATCCGCCCAGGGCGAGATGAGCGCCAACAAATGTCATCTCTAGCTTTGACATTGCTCCGTCAATGGGACCGCTTGGTGGAGAAGGATGGGGTTCTCTATCGGCGGGTGCATTGTCCGGATGGGGGGGAAGAGACTCTACAGTTAATTCTTCCGGCTGTTTTGAAGTCTGAAGTGGTCATGCAGTTACACCAGCAACATGGCCATCAGGGCATAGAACGGACAACTGAGCTTGCCCAACAACGGTGCTATTGGCCAGGTCTTTCGGCTGATGTGTCTCGCTGGTGCTTGGAGTGTGAGAGATGCCAGGCCGCTAAGGACACT